TCTTGAGCTCGGAGGAAAGGGAGAAGAACACGTTCGAAGGGAACAGGGACATGTTCCTGGGATCTCTTAAGGATGACGCTTGGCAGGAGTTCTTAGAAGAATTCAATCAAGAAGTGGGCAGCGAGACGACGCTGGACAAGTTCAAGAAGGAACTGTGGGACACAGTAGTGAGGTTTGGGGAACCGCTCCTGATAGGAACGGGCCTGGACGAGAAAGCAACAAAAGAGCTGCTGAACAAGCTAGTGGAGCTGAGGAACTCACGATCGAAGGCTAGAGAAGAAAAATGTGAGGACAGCTCTACTCTGAAACAAAAAACTGTAGATAAAATAGTTGATGATATAAAAAGGGATAAGGTTGGGACTAGTAATATGATTAAAAGTACTAATATCCTTAAGGCTCGAGCAGGGGGGAGGCAAGAGTTGGAAGGAGTAGATGGAGAGGTCGAATCAGTGATGATAGCCACAACACCCTCAAGCAGAGATGTGAAGACTCGCAAGAGGAAGAGAGAAGTGGAAGGATTGGGTAGTCCTTCAGTGGATGCTGTTTCGGAAGGAAACTTGAGAGAGACGGCGCCCATCGTTTTGGCTCGATGCAAGACGGCGGCATACAAGAACAGCTCGGAGCTCAGGAGACCACTTGAAATAGAAAAGGATATAGAGGTTTCCGCCAGTTCGACGTCGGAAGAAGACTTCAAGCCTCAGAAGATAAACGTGAAGAGAGGTTCAACGAACGGACAGGTAGGGGAAGTGGATGTCGGCAAAGAATGGATCTCGAAGGCACATCAGGACATGGGCAAACAGGTGACGAGTGATCCATTGGAGAGGAACAAGACGAGGAACACTTCCCGGACGTGGTGGGTGGCCCTCGAAACATTGAAGGAAATGGAGGACTGCTTGAAGAAGTTGGACAGTGGAGTAGCTCGCAAGCGACGCAATTGGGCCACCCAGCAAAAAGCCGAGGTTAATAAGATAGAAATGGCAAATCATCTGAAGAGGTCCTGGCAGAGTTTGTTGAAGGATCATTTTGAAGAGGCAATGAGGACACCCTCATCAGCACCGCCATTAATGGCGAATCCCTTCGTTAGAACTGCGGGACAATTAATGTTCACCTGGAGTCTGGTGGGAATAGAGTTGGAGACATTGACCTCGTATGACAGGCTGAAGTTGGGAAGCAAGAAGCTAGAGGTGTATCAGGCACTGATGCAACACGTAGCCAGGGACAATTCAGGCTTGAGCCTGGCTAGAAGAAAAGATGCCACATGTTTCTTGAGATGGATAATGTCAATGATGTCTGATAGCACCATCCTGGCATGCCACCAGAGAGCAAGCGGAAGTAAAACCATGGAAAAAAGAGTCTCAACGATCATCTTGAACGTATATCAGAGTACAGGAATAGAGAAGGAAGATGGTTCCAGACTATCCTTAGAGAACCATAGAAAGCTAGACGAGGTACGGAGGTTCTCTAATAAGAAGTTCGAGGAAGAACATGATGTTCACCGTAACCTGGCCTCGTCAGAGCAGTACTCGAGGCTCAGCGAGAAGGGGGAATACCAATATGTGTCTGGAGTGATGGGAATAGCCTACAATCCCTTCTTAGACTCGGAAGCTGGAGGAGCCCACAGAAACCATGAGGTAGCGGAGCTACTGAAGATTTGGACAGAAAGAATAATGGAAATAGACGCGGTGGAAAAAGAGGGGCCGAGCCTGGGCCTGATTCTTGAGAAAACACCAGAGGTGGTAAGCATACCGCGCTCAAACAAGAGAGTTGAAGTGAACATGGGCGGTGGAAATGGCTTGTTAACCACGAACTTGGGAGTGGTATGGAAGCTATTAAGACCCTCCTGGTGTCCACATCCCCACGCGAGTCTAATCGAGGAAACCACCGAGCGAGTGAGGTTAGCACCAACGGAAGATGAAGATCTGGCAAAGTTGAGTGTGCTGCATAAGCTAATCACGCCTCAGATGCAAGAGCCAAGCGAAAAGACGAGCAATCCCGGGTCAGCAAAGAAATTGGAGCCGGGTAGCTGTCTGGATTCGACGTGTGGGAACGGAGAGCACACCTGCGATGGACGGTCATGCGTCAGAATACTGTCATTTCAAAAAGAAGACCTGGTCACTTGGTTCGAAGACATCACAGAAAGGGAGAAAAGTGAAGTGCAAATAGTAGCGGAATGTTACGCGAGAACCACGGTGAATATAGCGACAGCTCTCGGATTCTTCTCGAGAATGTGTGGTCTGCAGGCACTGGAGAGACTAGAATCTGAACATCATTTAGTGACGGCGTTGAGCGTAGAATCATGGCCCGGGGTGTTGCAGGTGACTCAAAAACACATCCGGAGCTGGAAGGTTGGTCTTGAGGCGGAAATGGGATTTCCCATGAGCGAAGCTTAGGGCTTGCCATTGAACGCAAAATCTCTGATAGGGTCAATGATGGCCAACTTGTGCGGAAGTCACTACCCACTGCACATGGCGATGGTGTAAGCATCCAGCCAGAGAGTGCTGGTGGACAAGGCCTTCTCAGTGCCCAAGTGCGTGAGGTTGGCTCGGATATCGCATCACTCGCACAAGTTGTTGAGAAAAATCAGAGGGACAGTGCCAAAAGAATTGAGAGATGACTTGAGTGAAATCTGGGGAGAAGAACTTTTGAAGTTGGAGAGAGAGAACACAAGCGATCACGAGAGACAAAACGTGATCGGAAAACCTGTGGCAAGTGCTCCAAACCTGGAAGATAACGACACGATGCATGAGAAAATGATGGAGCTTGAGCCTCTCTTGGAAGCCTCAGGGGAGCGTAACCTCAGGAGCATTGAGATCACCCATGGAGAATGCCCATGCCACTGTTTGGCACAAACGGTGTGGTATCCAGATCACAAGAACCTTTGCCTGGTGTGGGATATGGAAGAAATTCGGTCGATCGGACTACCGGATCACCGACAGAAGGTGACGCTCTTAGTAGTGAGTACAATGTTGGCTCTGAGATGGATAGAAGAGAACATAACGCAGTATCGGGAGGCGACGACGCCAACGGCTGAGTCAATATACGCGATAGACTACAGCAGGAGACTCGAGTTGTTTGAGACTGCGTGCAAAGTATTCGACATACCAATGGAAGTCGGACATGTATGGAGCCGCTTGAGGTACTTTCCATGGTTTCGGGCGACACTGACGTCTTGGTTGTACATGACAACGAAAGATCACATGAGAAAACATCAAAAGGAGTATCGACAGTTCCAGGCCGAGATTGGGCCGGAAGCTTTCAAGAGACCCCTGCTAACCCATCGTAATGCGATCACGACAGGATGGAAAAGAGTGGGTAAGATGTCTAGAGACAATACCAAAGCGAGGGAATCGATACTAGAGGAGGACCTGGCGAAGAACGTGAGCTTGAGCCTGCACAACTCCTTTTGCTTGAACCGAGAAGCTAGGGTGAAGGCACTACCCAACCAGGCAAAGAGGTTGCAAGAGCAAAGAGAATGGATGCGATCCTATGAACAGCTGAAGGCTTGGGAGGAGATTGTGATTAGCTCCGATGAAGAGGAACTGTTGAGACAGTTTGCCGTATCTAGTACTTCAGGGTGCAGTACCTCCAAGGCGAAGAGTACGAGATGAATGGGCAAATCGGATGGATCTTGAGTCTTGAGAGGGAAGGGGGGCTTGAGCGTGGATCCGAGTGAAACTTGGATTCACGAAAAAGAAATTTTAACAAAGGAAGTATTGTTACTAATATACTATATTTATTATATAAATCGAAATGCTGCATGACAATTTCCTGATTGAATAGGACAAAAGAAATTTTAAATGATTGGCTTGAAAAGCGAGAATTCAAGGGTGCAGGTGTGTGCAGATTTTGATTGCTGTTTAGCAATAGTGTGAAAATTTTACATGGCTGTGAATTTTGGGGTGTAGATAAGCTTAAGTCTGCTGCAAACTTCTGTAAATGACCACTGGCACTGTATCTTGAGCAACACTCGGTTTTCTGGGACTCACTGGCAGAAGACAGCACGCGATGAGGACATCGATCTCGAGTCCGGGGAGTATGTGCCAGTCGGTCATATTTGGAAGTTTGACCTTGAGAGAAGCAAAAAGCGCTTAATTTTGGAGTGAAATTTAATTTTTCAAAATTTCGAATGGAGCCTGTCATGCACGATTTTCTCGCGATAACTGAAAATCAAAAAAAAAAGTCAGAACAATTGAGTAAAAATCGCGGGAAAGTTGCTAGAAAAATCGGTGGGAAATTGCTATTCGCAATTTCAGTAGCAATAATAACCCAGAGTAGAGCTGTCCCATCTAAAACAGAGACGAGCGCGTTCCCACGAACTGGATTGTTGCGATTGGAATACTATTATTAACTGGACCAGAGTGAACCTTCGGTGGAAAGGTGGACAGCTGGAGTGTCCCAATGGTTCACGAGAACTTGCAGTCTAGAGTAAAAACTTGTTCTTGTTGTTAAAACTGACTAACATTAAACTCATTTTAGTTACTTTATTGATTCTTGAGTTGTTTACCGACTTATTTACTTCCTGGTTCTTGAGCGTGCTACTATGTGAGTACAAATTTAAATTATAGAGTGTGTTTTATGATTGTTATGTTGAGGTAAGGCGAGTTTTAGGTTGATCCATCTGAAATGGATCAAAGTTCCACTGTCTAATAAAAAAGTAACTTAACGGATTGTTCCGGCCCGGTTTTTAACGGCGTTCATGTATTTTGGGTATTTTGAGACCTAAGTATGGGAACGTTCTTAATTCTAGAGTGGGGGGATTTTTTGGTAGTAGCCTTAAGCAGTAGCGGGTCGTAGTCTCATGTCACAAGCGAACCGAATTGGCTCCGACTGATTTGAGGTGGAAAAACACAAGAGATAGTGTCCCTGACTCTTGAGCCAATAGTTATCGGGCCTATTTTTCTTAAGCCTCATGTGTGACTGCAGCAGACGAATGTTACAAATGTAATACAGAAGTGTGATCCAATGGACAAGGTTTTTTACGGGAAAGAAGGTGATTTTACCTGCTAGTTCGACGCTCTTTGTTAAGTTGTGCACTCCATCTAGCTGTATCCAAGATAGCCTCCCGCATCAATTTGTTCATTTTTTCTCGGTCACTTTTAATTGCCACCATATCTGTTTTCGCTAACAGGGCCGCCTTCTCTTTCTCTTCTGCTCTTTTTTGTTTCCAATACGCAACATACTTTGCGTGTAACTCTGGGAAATGACATTGCATCAGTTGATGAGCATCGTCTGCTTTCAAAGCCGTGACGCCAAATATTTCCTCATTTGAATTTATGATTTTCATGTGCAACAGGTATCGCCTCTCTTCGATTTCGCAGTTTCGTCTAACAACATCTGGAAACTTTCGACGAAAACTGGTGATACCCAAATATTGGGCCAATGTTTCCTGCAGAATGTAATCTTCGCCATCACCTAAAGGCCATCTGTATTCGATGACAGTTTCAGGACCCGGCAAACCGCTAATGTTATTGCTAAAACTGTGAGAGGGGGAGGAAGACACAACAGGGACCGACTTTACTGGCGACGAAGGAAGGGACGAGTCACTTGTAATCGATGAAGGCAAAGCCGAATCAACTGATTCTGTAAATAATTCTTTTTCGTCGCCTATGCAACTCATTTTCGTTGTCTATAAAAGCATCAGATACGAAGATAGTCTCTGAAATTTTTCACAAAGATCAAATTTTGGTGAATTTTTATGAGTCCCAATATTCATAGATCCCAAAATAAAAAATATGTCGCATAAGTCCCCAAAATTTATCTTCTTGAATTCTGATTGGTTGAAATTTGAGCGAACGAATTTACGGATTGATTGTTTAATGTTCGACCATCATAAACTCAAGCTGCAGAACAGTGACTGCGGCAGCCGCGCCAACGTGTTGAGAGCTTGCCACCAAAGGGTAGGACTCTATACAAATTTAGAGGCGGTTATCGCGGCGAAGCTGTGACGCGCGCGTAGCGCGCCCACCGGCGACCTTAAACCAAGACTCGGCTAATTTAGTCTTTTGAGCAATTTAAAAGATTTGGCAATTATGCAACTGGTTTTTTATTTTGGGACCTATGGGATTGATTTTTCATTTTGGGAACTACGAATACGCACCCACATTTTAGTGGGAGAAATTCACACCAACACACAAATGAACTAGGATAGTTTGTTCCTGTGCAAGTTGCAGCGAAGTTCCGATCACAGTTTAGAAATACAAATTTGTTTGCTCAACATTGTGCTCAATTTTTGTTCAGCACTGCACTTGTCTGCTTGTAGGAGTGCAAAAACTTGAGAAATGAAATGACTTCAGCAAACTACTATTATAGCTTTTAACAACATTTATGATTCATTACAGCCATTTTCGGCCAAACGTCTAGACATTGTTCATTGAAGTTTCGCAAAAAAACTTTGGTCGGTTTTTTTTAAAACCCTGCTGCGAGCAAAAATGCGTGGCAAACCTGTCTGCTGATTTGGCCAAAGTTAATTACAAAATGAGGGACAAATTTTTATCGGAAAACAGATAAACTGAACGCGAAAAGTTGCCGAAAAACTAGTCTTATCCCATTCGGTCGCAGATGTTTTGAAAAGGCGCATCGTACGAAGTTCTTGTCAAAATTTGCTGAAAAAAGGGTCCTTAGCTCAAAACGTCAGACGATTAACTGAAAAAAATCTCTATAAAATGAAGTTTTATCTCCCCTAAAAAAAATAGTTCCAAAATATTTTATTTTTGATTTATTATTCAAAAACATACACGTCTAAATCAAAATTATGACTCAGAAACTTCCAGATAAACTAATTTAAAATCTTTTAATTAATTTTAGAGGTTAAAAGTACTTTAATCTAAATAATAATTTTAGAGGTCAACGGTGATTGGCTAATTTTTTAAACATAAATTTTGAGAACCAAAATTTCACCGCACCTAATCCATTACAATGCATGGCAACCTACTCAGTGGAAAATGAGCGGGAAGGCTCAAAGTAACACAGAGGCGAAGCATAGTTTCGCACAATTTTCGATACCACAAAAAAATTTTGAATGCTGAATAAAACTTTGTGTGCCTCGATAAAAAAAACAATTAGAGGCCAGTTAAGGCTGGAGGGAGGTACGTGCTTGATAATGAATGAATTTGCTATTCCGATGCGGCACAAAAAATGCGATCTCAGCCATCACACTTTGCCCAAAACGTTAGTTGTTTCTCAACTAAAATAAAGAGTATAAAGTTTTGAGATGATCAACTTTCCCAAGGAGATTGCGTGTCTCTTGCAAAAATTTAAGGAGACTCAACTTCTACAGGAAAAATTATCGCATTTTTTAATTTGATTTTTTTCATCACAGGTTTGTTTATGCATTGCAAGAAATTTCTATAAATTTCTTTAAAAAAAAAACGTCAATATTTCTAAAAAACGGTTATTAATTTTCCACTTTCGTTTTTTCTGTGGGAAATCTCACTGTGATCAACACTACGAGTAAAAGTATTTGGGATGCTCGATTGTCAGCGACAAATTCAAAGCACGATGTCTTCTGAAAAAGTTAGATAGATTGATAGATAGATAGATAAGTGAACTTGAAAGTTTCTCTCACATCGCTGAGACGCAGCAACAGTGCTTTTGAAATTTTTCCATAAAGAGACGCTCATCAGAATTTCAAAACCCTGTAACATTCGTCTACTGCAGTCACACATGAGGCTTAAGAAAAATAGGCCCTATAACTATTGGCTCAAGAGTCAGGGACACTATCTCTTGTGTTTTTCCACCTCAAATCAGTCGGAGCCAATTCGGTTCGCTTGTGACATGAGACTACGACCCGCTACTGCTTAAGGCTACTACCAAAATATCCCCCCACTCTAGAATTAAGAACGTTCCCATACTTAGGTCTCAAAATACCAAAATACATGAACGCCGTTAAAAACCGGGTCGGAACAATCCGTTAACTTACTTTTTTATTAGACAGTGGAACTTTGATCCATTTCAGATGGATCAACCTAAAACTCGCCTTACCTCAACATAACAATCATAAAACACACTCTAGAATTTAAATTTGTACTCACATAGTAGCACGCTCAAGAATTAAATAACGTAACTAAATGAGTCTAATGTTTTATAGTTTTAACAATGAGAACGAGTTTATACTCTAGACAATAGTTTTCTTGTGAACCATTAGGACACTCAAGCTGTCCACCTTTCCACCGAAGGTTCACTCTAGTCCAGTTCCGAATAACACTCCAGTCGCTGTAATCCAATTCGAGGGAATGCTCTCGTCTCTGTCACAGATGGGACAGCTCTACTCTCGATTGTTATAGTGATGGAAATTGCGAATAGCAATTTCCTACTGCTTTTTCTTACAACTTTCCCGCGTGTGTGTGTCAATTGTTCTGAAATTGTTCTGACTTCTTTTTTTTCTGATTTTCAGTTATCGCGAGAAAATCGTGCATGACAGGTTCCATTCAAAATTTTGAAAAATTAAATTTCACTCCAAAATCAAGTGTTTTTTGCTCCTCTCAAGGTCAAACTTCCAAATATGACCGACTGGCACATACTCCCCGGACTCGAGATCGATGTCCTCATCGCGCGCTGTCTTCTGCCAGTGAGTCCAAGAAATACCGAGTGTTGCTCAAGATACAGTGCCAGTGGTCATTTACAGAAGTTTGCAGCAGATTTAAGCTTATCTACACCCCAAAATTCACAGCCATTTAAAATTTTCACACTATTGCTAAACAGCAACCAAAATCTGCATACACCTGTACCCTTGAATTTTCGCTTTTCAAGCAAATTATTTTAAAATCTCCTTTGTCCTATTCAATCAGGAAATTGTCATGCAGCATTTCGATTTATATAATAAATATAGTATATTAGTAACAATATTTGCTTTGTTAAAATTTCTTTTTCGTGAATCCAAGTTTCACTCGGATCCACGCTCAAGCCCCCCTACCCTCTCAAGACTCAAGATCCATCCGATTTGCCCATTCATCTCGTACTCTTCGCCTTGGAGGTACTGCACCCTCAAGTGCTAGATACGGCAAACTGTCTCAACAGTTCCTCTTCATCGTCGGAGCTAATCACAATCTCCTCCCAAGCCTTCAGCTGTTCATAGGATCGCATCCATTCTCTCTGCTCCTGCAACCTCTTTGCTTGGTTGGGTAGTGCCTTCACCCTAGCTTCTCGGTTCAAGCAAAAGGAGTTGTGCAGGCTCAAGCTCACGTTCTTCGCCAGATCCTCCTCTAGTATCGACTCCCTTGCTTTGGTATTGTCTCTAGACATCTTACCCACTCTTTTCCATCCTGTCGTGATCGCGTTACGATGGGTTAGCAGGGGTCTCTTGAAAGCTTCCGGCCCAATCTCAGCCTGGAACTGTCGATACTCTTTTTGATGTTTTCTCATGTGATTTTTCGTTGTCATGTACAACCAAGACGTCAGTGTCGCCCGAAACCACGGAAAGTACCTCATGCGACTCCATACGTGCCTGACTTCCGTCGGTATGGCGAACACTTTGCACGCAGTCTCAAACAACTCGAGTCTCCTGCTGTAGTCTATCGCGTATATTGACTCAGCCGTTGGCGTCGTCGCCTCCCGATACTTCGTTATATTCTCTTCTATCCATCTCAGAGCTAACATCGTACTCACTACTAAGAGCGTCACCTTCTGCCGGTGATCCGGTAGTCCGATCGACCGAATCTCTTCCACATCCCACACCAGGCAAAGGTTCTTGTGATCTGGATACCACACCGTTTGTGCCAAACAGTGGCATGGGCATTCCCCATGAGAGATCTCAATGCTCCTGAGATTACGCTCCCCTGAGGCTTCCAAGAGAGGCTCAAGCTCCATCATTTTCTCGTGCATCGTGTCGTTATCTTCCAGGTTCGGAGTACTTCCCACAGGTTTTCCGATCACGTTTTGTCTCTCGTGATCGCTTGTGTTTTCTCTTTCCAACTTCAGAAGATCTTCTCCCCAGATTTCACTCAAGTCATCTCTCAATTCTTTTGGTACTGTCCCTTTGATTTTTCTCAACAACTTGTGCGAGTGATGCGATATCCGAGCCAACCTCACGCACTTGGGCACTGAGAAGGCCTTGTCCACCAGTTTTCTCTGGCTGGACACTTCCACCATCGCCATGTGTAGCGGGTAGTGGCTTCCGCACAAGTTGGCCATCATTGACCCTATCAGCGATTTCGCGTTCAATGGCAAGCCATAAGCTTCGCTCATGGGAAACCCCATTTCCGCCTCAAGACCAACCTTCCAGCTCCGGATGTGTTTTTGAGTCACCTGCAACACCCCGGGCCATGATTCTACGCTCAACGCCGTCACTAAATGATGTTCAGATTCCAGTCTCTCCAGTGCCTGCAGACCACACATTCTCGAGAAGAATCCGAGAGCTGTCGCTATATTCACCGTGGTTCTCGCGTAACATTCCGCTACTATCTGCACTTCACTTTTCTCCCTTTCTGTGATGTCTTCGAACCAAGTGACCAGGTCTTCTTTTTGAAATGACAGTATTCTGACGCATGACCGTCCATCGCAGATGTGCTCTCCGTTCCCACACGTCGAATCCAGACAGCTACCCGGCTCCAATTTCTTTGCTGACCCGGGATTGCTCGTCCTTTCGCTTGGCTCTTGCATCTGGGGCGTGATTAGCTTATGCAGCACACTCAAATTCGCCAGATCTTCATCTTC